TAGAGTCCAGTGCATAAGTCAGATAGAGCTTCCAACAACTCCGCTTTGGAAAATTTGCGCCCGGCTGACTTCTGGTGCGCATCCGCAACGACAACGAGTCCACACAACCAATCGCGAGTCCGCTTCCCGAGCTCGTCGCGGAGCCAGGCTTCGCCCTGCCGTGCTCGGCGCAGCCCTCTCGCAGCTCCTGCAGCTTTTGCTCCGATGCAGCAACAGCATCGACCTGACAACAAAAACTTCACGTGAAAGCACGAAACATCTAACCTGGCCACGACATTGACGCCTCACTGCAAGACAAATTGACACAGACAATGATCAACGACATCGACTCCCCATGAAGCCTCCTCCTCGACAATGCACTATGATAGAGCTTATACCAATCCCAGCTTGGACAGAGTGCGCTAGGACGAGCGCTGCGGCACGCCTGCAGTGGCAGCAAGCCCACAAAACTGCCTGGTAGTTAGTCCCCGAAGCTCCGCACGGAGCCAGGTTTCACCGTGCTCGCCAAAGCCCTCTCGCAGGCCATTCAGCTGCTGTGGCGGCAACGCCATGTGTCCACACCGGCCCTTTCGCAAGACAGCGTCCAGTCAGGCAAAGAACCGTCCTAAGTATGGTGAGATGCTGCAACGTGTTTTGCCTTTCGAGCAAAGCGAGGCAGGTAAAGAACAGTCCCCAGTGTGGTAAGAAAGCCTTCTCGCAGGCCATTCAGCTGCTGTCGAGGCAAAGAACCGTCCTAAGTATGGTGAGATGCTGCAACGTGCTGTCGAACAGAGCGAGGCAGGCAAAGATCAGTCCTCATTATGGTAAGATGCTGCAAGATATTTCTCCTTTCCAGCAAAGCATGCGGGCCATACATGTGCAATGAGTAAGCCTCTGCAATCGACGTAGAGATTCCGAGCCTGAACAAGTCATCGAGCAGGCACCGGCGACGCCTCATTGCAATGCAAACTGACTCACGCAGGCAGTGATCAACGGCAGCGATTCCCCATGAAGCGCCCTGCTCGGCAATGCGCCACGATAGAGCTTCCAACAACTCCGCTTTGGAAAATTTGCGCCCGGCTGACTTCTGTTGCGCATCCGCAACGACAACGAGCGGCACGCCTGCAGTGGCAGCAAGCCCACACAATTGCCTGGTAGTTAGTCCCCGAAGATCCGCACGGAGCCAGGTTTCACCGTGCTCGCCAAAGCCCTCTCGCAGGCCATTGGGCTGCTGTGGCGGCAACGCCATGTGTCCACACCGGCCCTTTCGCAAGACAGCGTCCAGTCAGGCAAAGAACCGTCCTAAGTATGGTGAGATGCTGCAACTTGTTTTCCCTTTCGATCAAATGGGCGGCAATGCCATCTGTCCACCTCCGGCCCTTTCGCAAGACAGCGTCTAGTCAGGCAAAGAACCGTCCTAAGTATGGTGAGATGCTGCAACGTGTTTTCCCTGTCGAGCAGAGCGAGGCAGGTAAAGATCAGTCCTCAGTACGGTAAGATGCTGCAAGATATTTCTCCTTTCCAGCAAAGCATGCGGGTCATACGTCTGCAATGAGAAAGCCTGTATAATCGACGTAGAGATTCCGAGCCTGAATAAGTCATCGAGCAGGCACCGGCGACGCCTCATTGCCATGCAAACTGACTGGTCGGACGCTTCCCTCGCGAATCGTCCTGACGGTACAAGCACTGGAGGATTGATCATCGGATTGATGAGTCCCAAGTCCATCGAGGTGGGCCAGGGCAAAGTGAATATCATCAGCTGGCGCAGCTACAAGTTGCCTCGAGCTCTTTGTCTGCTGAGGCTCAGGCTCTCAGTAACTGCGAACAAGAGCTGATGTACGCCCGCCTTGCCTGGTATGAGCTCAACGGCGGCAAGATTGATGTGCACCATCCGGCTGCCAGCACTTCCAAGGTTCCGGGCCACTTGATCATCGACGCCCGAGGTGTGTATGACACTTTGATGAAGGCTGATCCCGGCATGGCCTCCTTCAACGTCCAGGATAAGTACACTTCATTGGAGCTCATGGGCATCAGCGAAAACATCCAGAATCAAGGCACGATCCTCAACTGGTGCGACTCCGATCATCAGTTGGCGGATGGATTGACGAAGCCTGCCAAACAGGACGTCTTGAAGAAGTTCCTGCTGCAAGGCCATTGGCGTCTACGGCATCCCGGTGCTTTCATGAGTGCTAAGCGCCGACGCATCTTGGACGGTGCCGACCGCTCGGATCCCTTGGATGTACAGTTTGTCGCTGCAAGCGCTTAAGCCTGATTCTTCTTGTAGAGTCTTTGGGGTGTGTCAAAGGCAAAGCCATGGCATGATTATGCAAACACTCCGAATCAGGCATTTTCGCATATCTCTCTTGCTGCTCAGGAGCTCCTTCGGCCCAAGCTTTTGGCTACTAGTCTGACGTGAGTACATAGTGCTCCCTCGTGGCCATAGGCCTCCTGTGCGGCTCGGCAGAGCTGACTTTGGTGACGCTCGCAGAGCGCGTGGAAAAGGAGCGGATTGCACAGCATCGTCGGATCTCTTACCTACCAGTGTCATAGGCAAACTGCCAGTGACAGGCCCCCTTCGATTTGTCGCTTCGGCACATACGAACCGTCTAGCGGCCGGAGAGTTTGCGAAGAAGTCTCCGTGTTGGATCGAGGTCTTTTTCATCTGAAAGCAATGCGAATATGAGCTTACCAAAGCGTGGTACTTTTTGTATTCCTTTCCCTCGCAACAATGAGTCTCCCTGATAGACAAGCCCCATGCATCACTTGGATCTTTATGTGGAAATTTCCTTATGTGCTATGTTTTCTCCTTAATAATGACGAGCAACCCATGGGGATTGGGCTTGTGGGCCTGAGGGTTCAGATTACCTGTTGCAGCCATTTGACATCATTTGACGATTTGTGCGGAGATAGTGTCACAAGATGGCGTGCTTGCGCTTGTTGTTGATTGCCTTGTTGCTCTTTCGTGCTTTGCATGCCGCCGACAACGGCGATGACGAGGAGCAACAATTACAGATTTGTTCAAGCGCTCGGCCCTCAGCACGATTTCTCCGGGTGTTGCGAGGGTTGAGGTGAAATCTGCGGTAGCCAAGGGTATGTTCCGACGACTCGTCCTTTACGCAGTCTTTGCCGCTTGGCTGGGCCTTGCCCAGCGAGTGGAGAAGGTAAGTCCTTTCTTCTTGCACCGCGAGTTTGAATAAATTTGTTTTTGTGCAGGAACTGCGGAGTTTATCGAACATGATGAAAGTGACGTTTGACTCCCCTTCTTTTGGCGAAGATCTAGTTGCCAAGCCTGTTCTTTCCAGGAGTATCACCGATCGCAGGACCGCAACGGCGGAGGAAGAGGAGGAGGAGGAGGAGGATCGGGCTCCGGAGGAGGAAAAAAGCATGGCAAAGCAAACAAAAGCCGCTAAGTCGATGACAAGTCGGCAGTACTGTGCTCCCATGTGGCAGCTTTGATTATCCATGTTGGCTTGTTTGCGAAGAAGTCTCCGTGTTGGATCGAGGAGCGCAGTTGAGGGGCGAGTTAGGCCAAACGAACGCGTCTTGTGAGCGTTGAGCAATCTTGATCACATTGGGAACAAGGCTCGAGACTTTGCACATTGGGCGTCATGCAGGTTGTTTCGGAAACCCGCTTGCTTGACTACCTTTCTCCAGAAAGATCCAAACACGGATTTTGTACCCCGTGGTTCAAGGATGTTGTAAATGCCGATCGCGTGCACTTCATAATAGGAATAAGAGACATAGCTGAAGGGGCGGATTAACCCTGGTACCGTTGCGCCGAAGGACGGGTAAAGGCTGTGGAAGTGGTGGGCGTGGTGGAGGCGGTGGGGGCGGTGATGGCGGTGATGGCGATGATGGCGGTGGGGCGGGGACAGAGGAGTTAAGGGCGAAGCCGTCCACGGGTTTCGTGCTTTTTCTCCACTCAACAGCACCAAACAACACCGGGGGCGGGTTGCGGCTTAAAATTCTAAAGTCTACGTGTGGCAGAGCTCATGTGTGTGAGCTGGTCACGAGGCCTGGGGACCCCTTGATTAGTATTATATTTATTGATTGGAGTCCCTGTAGAAGGAAAAAGCACCACATCCATAAATTGCTGGCAACAAATCGTACCTCTTCCACTTCTTCCACTTCCAATCTTTCACACTCTGGCCGCGATCTGAGGCCCACAGTTCCAACTCTACACCCAGATCACAGACTCTCACCTCCTGAGGCGTTCAGGTGTGTGTCAGGTGCGTCTTGCATGGCTTATCTAAAAAGTTCGCAGTTTCACCGGCGTGACCATGCGCTCGGCGCGTCGAAGGAACCCGTAGGCGTCGTGAGCCACTCGAAAAAGTCTCGCGTCGATGTTGAATTAATCTTTATGGCTGCTTGGCTTTGCTTCTAATTGTTTGGTTGTAGATACTCCGAAGGCAAGTTGCATTTTTGCCCGAGCACGAGAAGGTCATGTTTGCATACCCCATGTGAATTTGCCTATAGCATCTGACCAGCGGCACGTAGCAAGAAGGGTGTTGCTCAAGGGAGTTCCCGTGAACATGTTTAAGCAGGCGCTTTTGCAGCAGACCAGTCGAGCTCCCAGTCAAGTGCACTTGAGCAACGCTTCAGCATGGCCGTATCCAAAGGATATCATACCGTTTCAAGACTGCCAGCCGTTATCAGGCGTACATCTAACTTGCAGAATTCTTTGACAACTTCCGACATGCGTGCCCGACACCCCCGCTTCGATGCGCAGTCCTGGTGGGCGTGGTGGGCGTGGAGCTATTGGTCCCAGGAGTGGCAGACAGAAGGGATGATTGTAGTCGAGGGCTGACACCAAGTAGCCAGGGCTGCCTATCAGGCATGGCCAACAGGACCATACTTGAAACGGCACCGCCCCTTGACAGCAACCAGGCTTTAGTGATGGTCCGAATCACAGAGCCTCTAGAGCCTCGAATCTCCTGTGATGCTCCTAGGCCTCACCAAACAGAAGGTTCTGGCAACTGTGGAGTCTTGGCCTGGCTCTAACTTTGGGTGGCTTCGACTTCATGGAGAGGACAATCGACGAGGCCAAATACCCAGATTTTTTTCAGTTGAATGAATTGAATGTCGGCGCCTGGAAAGCTGGAGGCCGTGTCTACCTCCACCGCATCGATGTGGAGGATTCGTTGGCGCCACTTGGCTCAGCGCAGCACTCCGTTGTAATTACCTGGGCCATCTTCTTGGCAATGAGGTTGCGCAGGGGCTGCCAAGTGTTCTGCCACCTGTACAAAGATGCAGCTGGCATTGGCGCAGAAAGTGTGATGTGCCTTGGCCGCGACCTATGATGATGCGCTGCTGTTGCTAGCTGGGCTGGCAGAGTCGAAATCACTAAAGACTTGGTACCTGCGCAAGTTTGCTCAAAGTCCTTGGAAAGGTGCGCTACCGACGATTCCAGCAGCACGGGAACACCCTCTTCGTTCGCCAGTATCGCCAGTGTGGACAGTACAACGGACGAGGAAAGTTTTACGTGCATTATTGCTCCGGAGTTTTTGCCATTGCCATGGACGTTGGGATCAGTTTCGTGTGACGGCAGTTCTCTGGATGCTGATTGGGCAGGCTGAGCGACATCAACCTTCTGGGGACCAGGCACTGATTTGAAGCTTGGGGGGAGGGGCTTGGAGGGCTGGCATTTCACTTTCCGAGGGGGAGATACTAGATCTAGATGCCTCGGACAAGCCTCGGCAGATAAAGACGATTACGTAGAGCTGTGATGCGTTTTCATGTCCGCATTTCTCGGACAAATACCCGTGCCAGCAGGCGACATGCCAGTTTTGGTTTGATGTTTGTTCTCTTTAAATGCCTGACACGCCGTGCCCGATGCTATACAAAGCCCCATAGCCTCAGCCCGAACACCGAAACCTCAGACCCTCATACATCTTACGACAACATCTTCCCTCCAGGTCTCATGCTGCGGTTTCGGCAGCATGCCGCACGAGTGCCCCAGTGGAACAAATGCGATATGAGTCGTGAGACCTGCGCTGTTTATGTTCTGTTGGTGAAATCAATGCAGGCTCAGCCTCTTCAAATTCCTCGGCGCGAAGAACTTCTGCAATCTGCGCGCGGCGTGTGCCACTTTGGCCAGTAACCAGGTGGCGCCTCGAGATACGTGTGTCCCGAAAGTCGCTGAACAACGCAAAGGGCGTAATGCCAAAGAGAGCTGGAGGTTTCACTGCAGCCATAAAAGTGCTACTTCAAAGTGTCAGGAGGACCGTGCACGTGCAATCGCAGTCATTCATTCATGCTCTCCATTCCAGCGTTCGCAGATACTGGCCACAACAAGCAGTCGCCGCAGCTGCTCGTGTTCATTTGTTCTTTGCATCTCATTCGTCGTTTAGGTTTGGAAAGTTGAATCAAGGTGCCGTTTTTGGGTGGGGCTTCAAGCTCGAGCCTCTGGATGAAGCTCGAAAGAGGTTCTAATTAAGACGAAACAAGCACCCTGGAGCTTCTGTCCAGCAACTTCATAGGAAGTCTACAGTAAGAGTTAGAAGCAGTGCACGGGTAAAACCAAAAAAAGGCCAGCAGTTCTCGGGTTGTTTGTTGGGAGGTGCTGCTGAAGAACCTTCTGGATGACGCCTGCAGGCACCAGCCGCAAGCCGCGCACATTGAAATCAGTTCACCCATGATCGTTGAGGAGCGTTTCATCCGGCAGAACTACATCCTGTGCTGGTCGCCGGCGCTCTCTGGAACCAACAACAGGATCCGGTTCCTGAGGAAGAAGTTGGTGCGAGACCTGGGGATCGTGTCAGCTGCGCGGAGCCACTAGAGCTGAATGTAAGCCCGAGCCTTGTAGGCATCGTCTCGACTGGCATGGCGTTTCCGTTTGTTTTTGGTTGTTTCGTTTTTTTGGGGGAGGGGCGGGGTGCTGTTCCCACCACATGTCTTGCTTTAATCGTTTTGTTCCTACGGTGTCTGTAGCCAAACCTACAGGTTTCAGCTCCGGTTTAGTTGTTTTCGCTCACTTGTTTGTTGGGCAATTTTAGCATGTTTTTTTCTTTTTGCGTAGGGGGGTTGTTGTACCTTCCTCGAAGCCTGCCCGAGGGCTCGAAGAGGGTCGCTTGACTTCCCTCGTTCTACTTGGTGGCTTGCACATTCCCTGAAGCCCACTACGTTAAGCAGGGTCGGCGTAGTTGATGGCTTGTAGTTCCTCGAAAACAAGCTCGGCTTCATGGAAGGGCTTGCGCTTCCGTCGAAGCCCACTGCCTGAAGAGGGGTCGCTTTTGCTTGGCGTCTCGCCCCTTCTCCGAAGACCACTCTGCTTGAGGAGGGTCGGTTTTATTCGATAGCCTGTCCTTCCTTGAAAGCCCTCTATGAGGGCTTGTACTTTCCCGGCATCCCAAGTAATTTTATGTGAGAACACGCCATAACCCCGAGCCCCAGCCGAGCCCCAGCCGAGCAACCCTGTGTAACCAGACATCGTGACTGCGATGCACCCCGAGACCTAGTAAGCCTTGCTCAGCTCGGGAACACGGCCCCACCAGGGACTGAATGCAAAAGAACGGCCCGGTAACTCACACTGCAACCAGTCCAGGCAACCTGTCCCTTACCTTGGCACCACTGGCGCCGCGGATGAGTCCCCGAAGCCCACTGAAACAAGAGACCCAAAGTAGAGAGGTTTGACGACCTACCCCAGAAAGCAAGATGGAATCAACCCGAAAAGCGGAAACAACAAAACAACAGAGACAGAAACAGTAAACTAGCAAGTGCCCCATCATTTCCTCGATCACCATCGTCGTCGTTCTCCTCGTTCTCATCCTTTCTCGCCTCCTCCTTCTCCCTCTCCTCCTCCCTCTCTTCCTCCCACTCCTCCTCCCACCGCTGGCTCTGTGGCGCCATCGTGCCTGGCGTGCGTGCGCAAGGCGGAACAACCGCCACAGATGCGAGTTGTCGGGACGGCCTGGCAAAACACCCTCACACAATGATGTGTATAGAGCATTTCCGAGTCCTTGCTTGCTCAATTCTGCCGCGCCAAGGCCATCATCCATTCGTGCTTTCACCTGTTTCCCGGGCTTCGGGTAGTGTATAGTTGTGAAGAACTATTGTTTCCCAATCCTTTTTACTCTTCCTTTGGGAGGCCGGCAATGCCTGTCTGAGTGTTTTCTTGTTTGTCATCACTGGACTGTAGAAGCCGAGGTTTGCGCTGGCTGGTTCGAGGCTTGCCGACCTGGTCTCGATGCATGCCCGACAAGATCGAGACCTTCAAGGATATGCTCTCGATGCACTGCTCGGATCAAGATCCGCTGGTAGCAGAAGCTGCGCAAGCAACCTTGCGAAGGTCCAACGAGAACCTTGTCCTTGGTAGTCCCACTCTGTTGCATGTTTCAGACGCAGCATCGGTATGTGAGTCAGACCTGTAAGGCCCGAGGGATTATGTAGCTTTTATGTGGGGGTTCAAGACATTGGTTGGAGTGTGGAGCTTGGGGTGTGTGTGGACGTGATATCATCCTCCCCTCTCTTTGCTCTGGGAACCTCACCCTCAACGGCCCAGCCAAGGACATGCAGCAGAGTCTCCGGAGCTTGATTGTTTCACGCTCAAAAGAGATGCCGCAGAGCTTTGTATGAGTCGAAGGCTCAGCGAAAAAACAAGGATGGGTTTCTGGTAGAGGTGTTTAGGGCCTTGAAAAATTCAGGATTTAGGCACTTTTTGGGTGGGTTGTGGGTTGTAGTTTGTAGATGGTTGCAAGCATAGGTGGAGAAGCATTTCATCTTGAATTCCTTGTGCTCGGCCGGAGATTCTCTTGTTGCTTTCAGCGTGGGTCTACGGCAAGAGGACGCAAACCAACCAATGTCATTGCCTGCAAGCCCTAGGCCAGTCACTGCCCTAGTCAAACCCCACACCCTAAAAAGAACTAAATCCTAAAAATCTGCAGCCCGGAATCCCACATGCATATTGGGCAATATCTTGCTTACTTCGACCGCATGACCTTTTCCGGGGATGGCCGTTTACAGTGATCAACATGGTAACTCAAGGCCTCTGACGGGTGTTTCAGAAAGGGTTTGTATTATATGGGTAGACTACACTGTACCCCCAGCAGCTTTCTCATTATGACGCAATGGAGAGGTTATGTCTGGCATTTGTCGTGCAGCTTTGGGTGTGTGGGGGTTTAGAAGTCCGCGCAGTTCTTACCGGAGTATCAATTCCCTGAGCCTTATAAACCAGTAACCAGCTGCAGCCCGGAAACCGTACAGTATCCTCTGATGCTTAACTCTCAGCCGCACCGGAGCCATGATCTGTCAAACATGCTCGTGTTCAAAGTGTTACGAGTGCAGCATGGCCAACTGCATCAGAGCTCCGGTGCTCACAAGTATCACCAACTCCCATAGTTAGGGGTTCAGGCTTTAATGTTGATGTTCTGCTAGCTCTGATTTCCGCTGCGACGTTGAACCCAGCATGCAGAAGCTGCTCCACAGAGCTTGAGCGCCAGTACATAGGCAGATTGACGCAACCCAAGTTCGAGAAGGTCAGTCTCCGCCATGTTTTCCGGCCCACGGCGTTTGGAGGCATGCTTCCGGTCTGACTGTACCTGGTCGGAGTGTGCGTCAGTTTTGGTTCCCTGGTTGTGTCCGCATGATGTGATAGAGCAGCTATCTGGCTGATGCATCGGCTGGTGTGTTTCAGACAGGGGATTTGTGGTTTCATCGGGGCTTCGTTTCTCAGGCTCTCGGAAGCGTTTCAACAGAGGCTCCTCTGCTTTGGCCTTCTTTGGGTCAAGTTTGGGCGGGCTAGGCCCGTCGCGACGTTTCGTCCAGGGATTACAAACTCACGAACCTTCGCCCCTCGAAGCTCCGCTGCAGGCGCCTCGGCAGCTGCATAAAGCCGCTGCCACCCGCGGAGTCGTGCGCTGAGCTACGATGGCTGCGACTGGGGAGCTTTCCGCTTTCGATATCGGTGTCTCCACTTTCAGGGATCCAGGCTTCCTGGATTTACGAGGGGAGGCTTGAATACCACCCCGAAATACCCGACCCCTTCGACCTCTTTGACGGCTTCACATGAAGCCTACGCAGCCTAATCCTCATCAGTTGGACGCTTTCCAGATCAGAGCAGATAAATGCCACGACAAGGGTCTGACTTGAATCGAACTTGGCCTTCTTTCAGATATTCGCTTTGCTGCTCTTGCATTTAGCCGTGGTTTTCTTCGTGCAAGGAATGCTGGTGCTTCGGCTGCGCCCAAAGCCAGCGCAGGCTGGCTGCACGCGGCTTGATGTGCACAGAAGGCTCATTGCCCTGGCGGGCTGGATGCTGGCAGTGTTTTGACGTGTTCAAACTCTTTCTCTTTGCCAGGCTCAGTGACTCCTCTAAGACTCTTCTGCTACCGGATTGGTCTAGACCCGAGGTCTAGCAGTTAATGTTTGTGGGCGTACATATTTTTCGGATATGCACAAGCAGCAGAAGCATAGCAGGAGAAGAAGAAGAAGAGAAAGGTGCGCTGGACATGACATGCTGTTCTTGAGCGTGTTTTGCAGGTCTCATGAGCTTCACAAAAATGCTGCAATCGGAAGAATTATATCCCCAGAGCGACACTCGTGCCACTGCCGGCAAAATTACGAAAGATGGCCATTTCTGCGGCACGCGCGCGCCCGCACGCGCACGCGCACGCGCACGCGCACGCACACGCGCACGCACGCGCACACGCACACGCACACGCACACGCACTCACATGTGTGTTTACATTTGTCGGCCGTGCTGACGACGGCTGCCACCGCTTTGTGCTCAGGCAGCCATCAGTAGCTGTCTACCGCGTGCCACCCAGCTGCGCTGTAAACTATAACCTTTCACTTGCGCAAAGGCTCCCCAAACTTTCAGGTTGCTCCGAAAGGAATGGCCTTGATCGGTTGAGTCCTCGAATGTCTGGGAGGGTGCAGGCGAGTGGTTTCAGTTCGGTTTAGGAATCTGGATTGTTCGGAAAGAGGACGCTCGAGAAACAGTTGAGTTGCTAAGCCGACGTGATATAAGTTCGGCTTACAAGAACTGGCTGCAACTTTAATATCGTTCAGTTGTCGACCGTTGCACCCAACCGTTGTTTATTAAGGGGAACGGCGGCAGCCAGAGGTACACTAGTCTTTCACTACAAGTCGGCTCAGCAACATGTCTGCTTTCTGATTTTTTCTCCACCCCCCTCGGGCCTGCTTCATCGCTTTACTTGCTACCCAAATACCCAAAGCGGCCGCGAAGCGATGCAGACCGTTTCAACTTCAAAGGCGGGGGTGAGGTGCCTTGATGTCGCATGCCGAACTCGGCGAGTCCTAAAAACCAAGTGTTTGTGAAGTTTGCGATGCACCACTCAGGGTTTTATCTTCGGGATTGGATGAGCCAAGAGCCCCAGAGGGACAATGTCCAACAACTTTCACATGTTTTCCGGTGTGTCCTTGGCTCTTGGCGTTTCGTGAGCCCAAGGCTTGCAGAGCATTCGGATGTTTGGGCTGTAGCGCTTTGGGATTCGGGGTTAGGCCTTCGGGTTTTAGGACTTTGAGGCTGATTAGGTTAGTCGAGGGTTTCACGGTTCTGAGGCTCAAAGCTTGTCGGTAAGACAGGTATCAATGGCGGCACAGCTTGTTCATTTTGCGCTTCACGTCACCTGGTGTTTGGGAGTTTGCGGATACTATATGTGCATGCTGCAGTTGCATTGCGTTGACCCCTCTACCGACTTTCAAAGTCAATAAGGGATATCACAATGAGGGCCAACCTTGGGCCACGTCCCGTAAGACTCCTACCATATTAGATCACCCGCTGTATTTGCTGTACTTCACTTCGCAAGGGCGTACCCCCAGCAGGCTCAGCAATCCCGGGTTCTTCCCGTAAGGGTTGTAGTATGGTTTTTATAAGGGGCCCTCCTGAGGTCTTCGATCATTGCAGGGGGAGAACGGGGGATTGTCTCGCGAATGCTTTTAGCAGTGACATGGGACTGCCTATCCTTAAAATGCAGTCCTCACTATCGCTGCTGCCGCCGCCTTTTCTGGTTTGCGATAACTATGCCAGCTTTTGCATCGCCATGTGATTTGTCCGAGGTCAAACGCCGCGATTCTGGAATGCAGCAGTATAGGTAAAGGGCATAGGGCTGTTGAAGTGCTGAACCCTGTGTCTTCACGTCTTAGCCACCCTTTGCCATGGCTCCTGCAGCCGAAGTCGATTGGCACGGCTTTTACAAGGAGGCCACTGCTTGCACAAGGGGGCTTTGGAATGCATTGAGGTCTCCGCAGGGCTGGCAGGGCTGACGTTGTTCGTGATACACACTATGGATGTACATGTTCACCCGTTTGAGTAAGAACTACGCCGCACGTTTACGCTCTGATGGATAATCCAGTGGGGCTGTCGCCCACGACATGCTGTGCGGAGTGCACACTGGTTGCCTTGCACGGCCAGTCGTTCCTTTCTTCTTCCACAGGTGGAGATCCCCTTTGGGCTGATGATAGCAATGGCCAGTTGAAAACTCGACCAGCAGTACATGTTGGAAAGAACCAGGTTTCACTGAACAGTGTTATGCACCATTTGGCCTCGGGCTTTTGGCACATCTCCTCACTCCTTAGAAACATTCTACAACACACCTGTCAATGCACCATCAGATCAACAAAACCACGCAGGCCCTGCGTGTCTAGTGAAAGAAAGAGGTCAAAGCGCTGTCCGCGACAGAGCTGGACCAGTTAGAGGACTTTCTGGATTCTTGGCCGAAGATAGGGTTGCTGGCAGACTTTCAGATGCTGTTCGAGGTGACTGTCGTATCGACCATTGCGCAAGTACGCGTGCAGTTTTGGAGTAGCCACGTGGAGCATGGAAACTTTGAGTGTGGGCTGGGGAAGCACCTGGCCACCTTAAACCCCGAATCTGAGGCGAAATTGCTCGGGCACCAGGCGGGGCTCCGGGTTCTATTGTTGCCTGCAGCTTCAGACCTCAAGGTTTCAGTTGAAGGTTCAAGGATGTAAGGTGCGTTTTTTGTTTCAGATTGAGTGTTATCGGTTTCAAGGCGTTGGGGTTCTCGGGCTTCAGGGTTTTCAGGTTTGGGGCTTTCGGACTTTGCGGCTTCAGGGTTGAAAAGTCGTAGATCCCTGGAGTGTTGTTGACTCTGCCACCAACTACCACCGCACGTACCAGGATAGTAGCGCGAACTTGAATCCGTGAGCACTTGCAGAAGCTGTATTCTGACTTGATGGGGGGCCGGCTGGCTCGGGGTTTAGCATGCAGTCAACAGATATAATGGTTTTCAGGATATTGATGTGTGGCTTTCAAGCTGAAGACCCGATCGGCACTCGAAGCCCCTACATCCCCCTGTTCCGGGGGGTGTCCCTTATCGAGACTGAATAATGGGAAAGAGGTCGCCCTCTATCGACTCTGCTTCCTTTTTGTTGCGCTAGATTTCGTGGCCTCTTCTCAAGTAGTAAAATGAGCTGGCAAGAGAAGGAAAAAAGACAGAACTCACCGAGAGGCATATAGAATTACCCGCAGCGCTGTCTCCCCGCAGCAGCAGCAGCTGCAGCAGTTTTGGTTGTGAGAACGATGATGTCTAAACTTTGTTTTGCATACGGTAGGCGTGATAGTAATGCAAGCGAAATGTGTGATACTTCACGGAGGGGTCAGGAGACTGTTTGTAAGTTATTGATTCATGGCTATAGTTACATGCTTTGCTTGAAACCTCAAGCGCCAAGTCCCTTGATCCCAAGTAGTGCAGCATTATGCCGCGAGACGAACAGTGCATGCATTACATTCGGGTTGTCTTGGCTAATGCGACACAGCAGGTTGATGGATAGTGACCCTGTGACCCTAAGCCCTGAACTCTCAACCCTGAATCCTAGACTCTGCCGTTGTGGAATTGGGGTTTGGGACGAGCTTCTTGGGTGTAGAGTTTTTGGGGCCTTGCTGCATTGGGCTTACGATCTGTAACATCCGACCGTGGGTGTGCAGGTGCTCTGGGCGCCTCGGATGCAGCAGTTGGAGGGTGTGATGTTCGCTTGATTCATCACTCTACAACTGAGCAACTTAGGTAACATTTCAGAAAGAGGCCAGTCAAATTAGGGGTCTTAAGAGGGATCCTGATAAGAACGCCCCGCATGCAAGGATCATTAGACCCCGCCGGCCCTTCTGAATTGGGCTGCCTCTCCGTGCAAGCTGCAGAAAGTAACAGCACCGACAGCCCTCAAAGCCTCCTCTAGCCCCCGATTCCTGCCGCACTGGGGTCTGGAGTCGATTGAATTTCATTGCAGCGCTCGTACTCTGCACCTACACTCATACAGATGCAAACACAAACAGCTGGCCATTGTGATGGTATGTGCGTGATGGCTGAGAAGGCCCTGATGAGCTTTGCTGGGCCAGGATCCATGAATGGTAAACAGTGTGACAGTTGTTCCCAATCGTTGCAGTCGATGAGGCTCGTGCTGCTCTACGAAGACGTTCAGAGGTTCCTGTGACCCCCGGAGTGCTCAAAGCTTTAAGAAGCTTCCACGGCCTCATCTCAGAGTTTACAAACAGTGGTCTGAAGCCCCGACAATCCCAAAAGGGGATTTGCGGAAATGAGTGTGGGACTCGACCCACGGACGGAGCTGCATGAATATTTGAGCAACAAGTCCCTGCGATGCCATGCCCCCCTCACCCCTGCAGCTTAAACGGCGAATCTTGAGCCGCAAACCCAAAGCCTTTCTCACATGCTTTTCGAGGATCCTCTGGGCGATTGCTCCTTGGTTTGCACTCTGAACAACTTACGCCTGTACGTTCTTTAGCTGGCAAATGGAACTTGTCGGCAAGACCGGGTAGTCGGAAGATGCCCTGCCTGCTGGACTGCACTTTCGCGTCGGTGTATAAGTTCAGTCCATGAAGCGGGCAGTTGTGACCTAGTTCAATGGGTTCCAAATTGAGTGCGGTCCCTAAGCCCTAGAGCGAAGCGGCTGGAGAGCGTCTGCTCCAACACCTTTAACACCAGAAGCCTAAAACCTCTGGGATCCTCCGAAACATGCAAAGACCTTGCAGCAAGAACAAAGATATCTGGATCCTTGAGCCAACCCGTCGCCAATCCCGTTCTCGAGGCGAGGTCTCGCCGATTGACACGGAAATCAAGCGCCCGGCCAAACTTACGGCTCGTGGTGTTGGGTTTGGGTTCAGAGTTCGGGGTTCAGGGTTCGGGTTCGGAATAGCCTCAAAGAAAAATTTCCTTGAAGGCAGGCAAAAGCCGATAGCCCTGCCAGAGTCTGAAGCCTTGAAGAGACGGTGACCCTCAAGCGACACAGCCTGAACTCGGAGCCCCAAGCGGCTCTGAGAGACAAACCCAACGGGCTTGGACGATTGCTTGAGAACCGCGCTACAAACTTCCCGGAAAGTCGCGGCACTGAACCAGCTGAGATCTTTCTCAGGCCTTGGATCTTGCACTCCAACCACCTGGAGTGGGCGAGATCCTCGGCTTCGGGGCTGCTCTGACGGTTTGCATTCTAAAGGGTTGACTTGTTGCTCTTAGGCTTGTGCATCTAAAGTGTTGTGAAGCCGTAGACAGCCGATTCCCTCTTATTGTCGGAATTCGGAGTCTGGCTTAACTTCTTCTTGGTGCTCCTTGCAGTTATGCAGTGGTATAGGGCTCCGCCGGATCTAAGGAGGGTTTCAGAGGGTTTAGGGTGCCAGGGTTTAAGGCTCCAGGCTTAGGATTTGAGGTCTCTGCAGGTAGGTTTTGGGGTTCAGAGCTCCGGAGCTCAGTGCGGAACAAGAGACAACCGCTTGAAGCCCCTCCGCCCAAAGCAATTCAACTTTAAAGGGGTTTTGATGTAAGTCTTCTAGGGTGTTTAGATGATGTCATGTTCCCTTATACCCAGCGCTGAACTCGAAGACCCTAAAGCCTTCATCCTGGAACCCTAAACCTAAACCCCAATCCCTAACCGTTTATCGCAGCCAATCGCCAAAGCCTAGACCCTTCATCGCTTGACTTAGGCATTTCGTGCTTGAGTGTGGGATCTTCGGCGCAGTGTTTGGGCTTCAGTTGCAAAAGGTTTGCTCCGGACTCCGGATCGGGATGACTGGGGGTAAAAAGGAGCCTTACCTATTCTAGGCTTGTGAAAGGCTTATAGGGTTTTTGGTGTATACTGTACTGTACGAAAAGGTATATAAGGATCTGGAAAAGATATTATGTAACCACCCAGGTGGGCGGATTAAAGCCCCTGCAGCCTGCATTGTGCAGGCCGTCAGCCGTTTGCGACCGCCCATCTTCGTTCTCACCCCTCCTGGTCTATCTGAACTATCTGTATCAAGAACTCCCGCACTGGTCCTCTGATGTCCTCGGTAATATTTTGTAGCCTGGACCTCTCGAGGTAAGGGTTCTTGGTGTTCTTTGGGTTAGCGTTTGCACCCCGACCTCGTTTTGCCATGGCGTCAGTCGAACAGGTCGTGCCTTCTGCGACAACATGGCGTGGTGCGCGCGACCTTTGCATCATTGGGAAAAGTCCGGCGTCAGCTGCAGGTTTGTCGGTGCTTGTCTTGCTTCGGCTACACGACGCTCCATATCCCGAGTTCATCGAAACCCGAACAGCAGTGCGAACCTATGCCGTAGAGCATGCTCCGGGTATTCCAAACCTGCACAGGTGCAGTTGAAGTCCTGGAAGTACATTGTACATGGATGTAAACGTGCCCGAGCATACCTGCTGAGGCACCTGTTCAAGGTTCAGCATGAGGTAGCCAATTGCCTACGAATGTTTGAGTTTTCAAGCCGAAACCTCGAAACTTCCCATTCAATCGAAACGCACAAATGCTGAAGGAAGGGGTTTGCATTGACATTGCATTTACAGAGCCAAGTCGTTGCTGTTTGCCAACTTGAGCGTCGCTGTTTATCGTTTGTTACTTCGATTCGTGCTTTTAAAGCAGGTTTTCAGTCTCTTTACATGGAGATGGGCTTTGAAGACGGAGCATACATGCACAAAGTCGCAGTCCTTTCCGACGGAATGTCGGCTAATGTCGGCATCTAGTTGACACTGCTCTGCATTTGCCGGTGTGGCCACGACATGCCTCGACCTGGAAGACGCTGCACAACCAACTTGATCGCTGTGAAAGTATGAGACGTTTGATACTAATAGGTCAAACTCCAACTCAGAAGTTTGCCAAGATGATCCGCGCTTCCTGGCCAGGGCATCGAACTGTCGTCTTTCCTCTTCGAAGATGTCCTTCCAAAGCCTGAATTACCGGAGAGTGCCCTCGATGGCGATGGTAGATGATCACTGATATTTGGCTGCGACAGGACCCCAGAATGTTGTTGCGGTCACATCCCTGGTACGCAGACAAGTTTCGTGCATGCTGGTGCATCCATGCATGATCCAATACCATTCGTCGAACTAGATCCACTGGGTCCATGCGTGTTGGGTATGAGCTCGGAGCTTCTTCCCATTCCTGTGCTTAGCTTCTGGGCAGCGCGGGGCACGGCCCTAGAAGAGCAGGCCCGCTGGCAGTGGAAAGAAGCGGGAAGTGCAGCCGTGCAGCTGAGGGATAGGCAACGGGGATCGTTCACAGGCCCGCGATGGACACCCCCATGTCGCCGACTTCGAAGGACCGGCG